TTATGCACCATACACGATATGTATGTTCGATTCCAAAGAAATTTAGAATATGTAAAGGGATTTTGATTAGAAAATAAATTAGTGAAATTATATTAAAATCGGTTCAGATTTGGATATAGCTCCCATATATATTTTCCGCCGATTTCACATATTTGATGCACAAAACACGATACGTATTTCCGATTCCAATGAAATTCGGCATGAGTGGCTAAATTTGGTACAAAAGTAAATTTGACAAATTATATGTAAATAGGCTCAGATTTGATTATAGCTCCCATATATACTCAGTCGATTTCACATATTTGATGCACCCAAAGCGAGAGAGACAAAATCTGGCACCAAAAAAAATTGCCAAATTATAAGGTGAGGTTTGGGTATAGCTAACATATATATTTCGGCCGATTTCATACATGTTATGCACCAAACATGATATATATGACCGATACAAATGAAATTCAAAATGTGTGGCGGAATTTGGTTACAATAATAAATGTGACAAATTAATTGGAAATTAGTTAAGATTTGGATATAGCTCCCATATATATGTTATCGCCCGATTTCACATGTTTGACGCACCAATTTCAATGAAATATGAAAGGTGTGGCGGAATTTGGTGTAAAAGTAATTTTTTTAAAATTATATTTAAACCGGATCAGATTGGGATATGATTTTAATAAGAACCATTGACCCACAACGCCTTAGGCTAACTCTAAAAAACAAAACAACAATTGATTTGAAATACGCTTATTACGGCGAAGTATGTTGCTATCTCGAATTCACTAATTGCAATAGAAATGTCACTCAACTACAAAAGATTGCAGTTTACTGCACGCTTGGTATTTGCTATGAAATAAATAAATCCGGAGGACAAACCCTTCGTGTATGTATGTCATGTTACTGCTTTTCTAATGGTTTTGGTTATTTACGCATTAAAGTAGTGCAATATATATTTTTTTTTAATTTTTAAATTTGTTTTTTTTTTCAACCAACATATATTCGTAAATAAAATTTTGAATGCATATAAAATCAAAAGGGGTAGCGAAGCGCACCGGGTTCAGCTAGTAATATATAAAATAATAAATACCAATTATGTAAATATGTAAATTAAACACGAATGAACTAATTATTGTTTTGTTATTTAGTTTTAGTAGTAGGGGCTAAGCCCAATAGTTTGTAAGTAATTCTTATAATAATGGAGATCTCGTTTTTCCCTTTTTTCCGAGAAAATTTCTTTTTGTTCTAAAAAGCTTATAAATACAAAATTTTAAAAGGTTGGCTGGCCTTGCCTATATTACATATATTACACTATACCTCTAGAAAAACAAATAATATTTGTGTTAGAGTTAATATTATTATTATTATTACTTAAGTTTATACTTCTATAATAACATGTAAATTGAATTTGGAACAATAAATCTGAATCTGAATCATGCCTGAGTATATCGATCAGTGTTTAGCCGCTGCATGAGCCAAGGGTACTTTCCGTGTGCGTGGAAGTGAGAGTCGCCTCGAGCTGGAGACCTTTGGTGAGCAGGCTATGCGTATAGTTCAAGCGTGGAGTGATCGAGTTGGCGTTGAGGTTGCGAATGACAAGACATCGTCGTGAAAGGCAGACTTGCTCGGAGTCGACCTCCGTTTATAAAAGCTGGTGACCGTGGCATAAGGTACGCAAGTACGATTAAGTATCTAGGCATTCATATGAAGGATAGGCTTAATTTCCTGCTTCACTTTGATCACCTGAAGGAGAAGCTAACTAGAGTGGTGGGAATGGTCAGGCGTGTTTTGCGGACTGATTGGGGCTTGAGCAGACGTTCCATTCGTGCTATATATGGTGGCCTGTTTGCGCAACTTATGGGGCTCCTGTGTGGTACAAAACCGGTGCGTCTGTGTTGGGTCAAAAAAAGCTCCTGTCGTGTCAGCGGGTCGTCAAGCTAGCGTGTTTGCCTGTGTGTAGGACTGTGTCCACTGATGCACTGCAGGTGATGCTTGGCGCCGTGCCCCTTGATCTGGAAGTGAGAAGTAGGGCTATTCTGTATAAGCTGAAACGCGGTTTGCAGCTGGCTGAGGATGAGAACTGGATCAGCCCTTCTGATCTGGTGGATGGGGATAGTAGGCGGTATAAGGCGCTCCTTCGGGAGTGCGTTCTTAATTTTTGGAGGACAAGGTGGACGAACAGTGACAAGGGAAGGGCGACGTACGAATTTATTCGTGACGCAACGTTCGTACTGGACCGGCCAGACTTTCGCTTCGGCTTAAGTACTGGTTTCTTACTGACGGGGCATGGCTCTATCAATGCATTTTTGCATAAGAGAGGTCTTGCCCAGACGGATTTATGCGGAATGACCGAGGACTGGGTGTATGTACTGACGGAATGCCATTACTATAATGACATTAGATGTTTAGCTAATATGGGTATTACGTATGGAGGGGTGGGTGGGATTTCAGTAGGGTCCTTGAAGACGATCGGACCTTTAGATGTTTAAGTAATTTTGCGCGTGAAGTATTTAGTAGAAGGACAAGACTTAGTGGAGGAGGTCCCCGCATATAGTGGACGGTGGGCTGTTGGCTGTTGGGCCGTTTTGGTCCTTGGACCTTTGGGACGAGTGTTGTTGTTCCTCTGTGTATGTTGTGTAGACTATCTGTGAGGGTAGTCCTGTTTATTGTTTGTGTTGTGTAGTCCGTTGCCGCGGTCCCAGTGGACACATTGTCCAGTCCGTGAGGACAGCATGTTAATTGTCGTGCCTTGAGTGCGTGTTCTCTGCTGATTTTCTATTGGTGGGTGACCAGTATAGATCGCAAGGTAGGTGCTCACACAAAACACACACAGGCATTACTGGGAACAGTAACAGTAGATATATGCAGAATAGTGTGTTGAAGGAATTGCATTTGTTGATCTACAGAAATTAGGGAATATATATCGTTCCAGTTGATCTGTTGAAATTTGTCTTCCAAATCGCTATATCTAATATTCCTATAGTCACGGAAGGAGTATTGCTGATCGGCCGGATGTATATTAAAATTGTATGCTAAGAATATTAAGTGATGCTTTAAAAAGCGTGGTGCTGAAGCCTGGTAAAGTAAAATATTTGTGGGGTTACTGACGAAAAAGATGTCTAGAAGGGTATTGGACTTGGTAAAAAAGTAAGGTATTGGACATGGTACATTTACCAAGGTAATCTAATGCTATCATAGGATTGCATTTTTTTTTTAATTTTTGTCCCTTCATCGTCAAAGGTATATTTTATAGTTCTTCCTTAAGTATGGGCTAATGAGAAATTTACATTTATTTTCACGCCTCTAAAAGGTATAAAAGTCAAAGAAAAATATAAATTTAAAACAGGAAACTAAACTTAATTATGGAATGGTTAAATTTGGGTTCGCTTAGGACAAGTACGAAGACAATATCACACTTTGTTTTCCAAAACACTAGTAGAAGATTGTCGTCTATTATTTTCAGTTCAATTGGCATTAAATTGGTTAGAAGAAATTGTCAGTGTACGTTTTTGTTGTAATACTGAATTCATATAGCGGGTATTGTAAAGATTTTGGCAAAATTTTTCAGCTGGTAGATCTGAGGGTTTGATCCTTAAAGGTGGACCTAAAGCTTAGATGAACAAAACAGTAAGTTTGCGGCGGTCTCAGTCGTTGATTAGACTTCAACGAATGTAGACATGCGTGGGGGATGCACGCATTGTTGCTCCGTTTACATTAAGAAAACAAATTATAGATAGCTTTTGGAGAAAAATATCAATATATGGAGTTTATATTTAAGATTTTTTGATAGTTTTGCTAACATCAAATTAAAATTCTTGCTACAAAACGCCCAAAACAAGAAGGGAGATATTTTTTACGTGCTTTTTGGTTTCTCTCACACACACAAGCGCAATGTTCATTTTGTGCATCATAAACCTAAAGTGAAACGTCATTTGAGACCTACACAAGAACTAAAATCGCCGAAAACGTTTTCTTAAGATGAAGGGGTTGAAATCTTTATCTTTATATGTTTATGTCCAAGAACAAATAAATAAACTTAGTATTCCTAAGATATGGAACGTGTGTGTGTTTTATGTGAAAGGTATGCCGATCGAAGATTATTTATTATTTTTGTGAAATCTGCCATTCGTCATACGAAAATATTTTAGATATAAAAATAGATTTTGTTTAAAAAATGAGAAGGTCGAATTCATCAGAAAAATGGTTGCCATATTAAAATTAGCAAATGAGTGTACCTTTATTGCTTTGCCATGGAATTCGATGTTAAGTAAGTTACCATAAAAAAGCTTATTTGTTATATGTAGCTCCGCTATATATGGAAAGTGGTGTAGGATACATTAAAGTCGAACCAGCCCGAGTTTGGCCTATCTTTACTGGTTTTGCCATAAGCTGTTGTTTAACTTTGAAATTTCATAAGTGAGTGTGATTCTCATTTACTTGAGTATTCTCGGTACTTAAAGAGGTCGCTTTTAACTATATCATATCGTCACATCAAAAAGCTGGAAACCCCAAGTGGCCTTTGTCGAGTTGAAATCATGGCAAAGGTTCTTACCTTATTTCTTGTACCATCGGTTTGGGCCTCATCATGGTAGAATAATACAGGTAACAGCAAGTGTTGTTGTACAACAAACGTTAGAACTTCCACATACGAATTTGTTTCTGTACGTAATACAAGTGTCAGAGTGTCAGATATGACCGAAAATGTAAAAAAAGTATTTAATTTTGAATAAATTATGTTGATTTCAAAAACGTGCATTTTAGGAATTTTACTTTTAATGCTTTCATATCATTCCCCTGAATCTATAGTTGTTAGCTGTAGGTCCAAATATCTCAACACGTCGATCGATCGTTAGAAAATCGTGGAAAAAACAACATCCCTTTCAAATTGAAACCAAATTGCGTATATAAATAAAGAATTCTATATTTTGCAATTTTAGGAAACATGAAATATACGACTGTACTACCTAATGTGGTGTCGCTGTTCCTTACTACAGATCAGATCAGCTGGGCTGGCTGCTACCATGGGGCCTCATATAAATAATATCGAACACAAATGAAAACAAACTTTTTTTTGCTGGATTCACATCATAAAGTTCTTGAGTTTTATTTCTATTTTTTTTTTTTTTCAGTTATTTCGTTATTAATTAATATTAAATTAATTTCAATTTAAATATTTCCTATAACCTAATTGGTGTTCTTTCGGCCAGAGAGGTTCATCTCTTGGCATTTCTTATGAATAAATAATTTTCAAATATTTGTTTTTCTCTTTTTATTAATTTTACATTCACACATATTTGATTTTTTCTGTCTGTACGATTCGAGTGTGTGTGTGTGTTCATATCAAATATTTAAGTTGTGAACATTTATTAGAAAACAATCGAATGGAGTTGGGTTTTTTGAATAATAATTCGAATGAAATGCAAAATGTTATTTTTAATACACCCAAGTATACTGACAGATTCCGCATACATATATACGTACGTATGCAGTTGAAGTATAATTCACAACTGAAATGCATAAATGTTACATAATTGTATTTGTATTTGTATGGGTTTCATAGGCGTTTTTCTTGGATTTTCTCTTGTTAATATGCGTTAAATTTAGTTTTCAATGAACATGATAACTTTTGCAATAACAATCATAATATTCGGAATTGTAATTAATATGGGGGTTTCTATGTTCAAACACATTAATAATTTTAAAATTTCTTATGATATTTTTGTGTTGGAAATTCTCTCGGCATCAGTAGTAAGGTGATGATTTATCAATAATTACACACGCATAATAAACATTAATTAACGATTAAATAAATTAAAACACGAAATGAGTATTATCTACATGAAAATATTACAAATGTACTAATGTCGGGGTTCGTTACACATTGACGATCGGCGAATGTGTGAAATCATCAAACTATAAAGAGGATTACAAATGGAAGCACAGTTAAGTTTCTAACGGCATGTTGTCGAAATGTTGAAGGAACTCCAGGTAGGCGTTAATTTTTTTCTTTTGGAGGACACTGTAGAGTGAAATTCTGTGTGACTTAAATAATCTGATAGACGACACCCCAAATTGTGGGTGTGTTTCTATATCCCGATTAAGCATATGAGATTCAAATGTGGTTAGAGAAAATACATATTTTATTGATTCGTTTCGCATTTATGTATTTTTAGATTGAAAAGCTCTTTGCATTGGATTTCGATCAGCATTCAACAACATGCCCCATAATCTATTATTAATTTAATTTTTGTTTGTTTTGAAGAATATCTTTAAAAATGGAGAACAATGTGTCTATGTTTAGCAGGAAGTACTTAAATATTAGACTTACATTTTATTGTTTATAAACTATCTATCAAGGCAATATTTGATTGATATAAAATGTCTCATTTTTCGATTTTTCTTCATCCGTAATTTTATAATTCCACCTTAATGAATCTTAGTTTGTAACATACATATGTATGTATGTATGTATGTATTTCAACATTGAAGCGTTTGTTTTTCATTCTTTTATTATTAATACGTTTATTTTGCTTTTTAGTTGTTTGTATTGCATTATATAAATAAAATAATATCAATTGATTTCATTATAGAATAGTTTATATAAATATGTGTGTATAGTATTACTGACATACAGACATGTAATGGCACTAATGAATGAGAAGAAGATGGTGATGATGATGATGATGATGATAATAATAATGGTAGTGGGAATGATCCTTAAACATCAATCCGATTTGGGTTCAACATCAATTTGTTTCCTTGCGTTTCGATTTTCTGAAATGTGGAGCAAAAATATGAAATGTTTTAGCAACGGGTCGTTCTAATCTAACACAATAAATACTGTCAGGGGAAAAAATCTTAAAATTGTTGGAATAAACAATTAAAAAAACAGTAAGTTCAGCCGGGTCGAATTTTGAATACCCTTCACCATTTGGTGAACACTTTGAAAAGTGTTTTTAAATCAGCAAAATACCTAGTATAGGGAAGTACAGTTATATGGAGGCTATGCGAAGACCTGGACCTTCATAAGCAATTTATCTATTTTATCTACAAATACTAAATTTAAGACAATTCAAATAATGTCGCAAAAATCATCAAAATGCCGAATATTGGGAGGTACCGTTATATAGGGGCTATACCAACAATACCAAAAGTCTTGCACACCAAACACACATCTGAGTAAAATTGTATCAACCGTTCCACAGACGGACGGATATAGAATTTCTATGTGTACTTTGTAGGGTCTAAAAGATATATTTCGAGGTGTTCCGAACGGGATGACAAACTTGATATACCCTCCATACCATGGCGGAGGGTATAAAAATGCATTAAATTCTAAGTTATAAACTCTTTTAATCTCTTATGAAAAAATTCAATAATTTATATCTTTACTCCTAAAAGTATGCAAATGTATGGTTTTGTTAAAATTACAGGGTGTTCCATCATTTTTCGTTTCACAACAGGTATTTGTAATAATAATAATAATAATATTTAGAAACTTTCCATACCATAATAATATTTGCATATTTGCTAATATGATCATTTTGAAGTACTATCAACGACTTTTGGCATTTTACAACTGCCCTCCCCTACCGTCTGGGCAAAGTACCTCTCTCAATGAGTCAATTTCGCATTTCTCTCTCTTACAATTGTTTTACCATTAAAAAAGTAAACGGAAAATGCTATAATGACAATTTAGTTGGGATTAAACTTTTTTAATTTTTTGCCATCGTATTCCAGCACAAACTTGTTAGTTGTGTGAATCGAAACTCAATTTACAAAGTAAAAATTTGTAAAAATTACAAAGCAAAATAAGTTATTTTTCTTCTTTCGGTGTGCGGGACCGATTACAAAACCGAAGATTGTAAGTGAGAAACTCGGAGTGGGCAAACGAAGAAAAACACAATGAAATACGATGTAGAAATAAGACTTTTGGGTTCGCAAGACTTTTGGGTTCGCAGTGCCTATCGTGTTTAACTACAAATCAAAAGGTTGGGTAGGAAACTCTTTATTTTGTAATATACCATATATATAATAATATGATAATGTAATATACCATATACCGGATATCTATTATCCGATTCGACAATATTGATTGGTATTCACCATCTTTACATAATGTATTTCAAAAGGATATTTTGACGTTTATGTATGCGTATTCTTTCGAAAATTAGTAAAACAAGTCTGCACAACATTCTGTAAATGGTCTTTGCGATTCTTTAGATGAACTCTCATTAATCAGGATTCATATTACCAGTTAATCTGATTGTGATTTATTGGTTAAATGTTTTTTGGTTCGTCGGGGTAGTACAAACATATCATATTAGTTAAGACTATTTTGTCAAGGATTTTTATTGTTCAAGAATATTTCGGATGATATTCATTGGAGAATTTACTTCTTTCCTCTTTCAACATATACATGGTTAATAGAAAAATAGATTTCCAATTTCATTGGTGAAATTGCCGAGCATTTTTTGTCGTCTTGTTTGCAATTCTTTGACTACAAATCGTTCTTTGCATTCAAATCTCCTTCTTTTTTTGTACACTTTCAAGTGTTAAGATTAATTTGAAATGAAATTGCGCATTGGAATAAATTTCGACAACATGTTGTGACGGTCGCAGCGTTTGAATTATCGACAAAGGCTGAGGCAGAATACAAAAGCAAAACAATTGACATTGATACTCTTTCTGAGAACCCATAAAAAGGTTAAAAAACACTATTGAAATAAAACCCTGAGGCTATACCCGATTCCTGTCAGAATTAATCAAAATTATATGCAACAAGGTATTTCCAATTATTTTCAATTTCTTCTCATTTTTAAAATGAGTTATATAGCGCGAAAAATGTACGAAATTCCAGGATTTCCATTTAAAACAATTATATAATCTGTGTAATCGTTCAATTCCATAGAAAAAGTGGTTATTATCTTTAATATGCGCCCCGCAATGTACATTTCTTTCAATCATTGATTTTGAAAATGAATACAAACACAAATTTCGCAAGGGCAGGGCACACTTAGAAAGGAATTGTAATCAGCTGACTGGTCTACCTTACCTTTTTATTGCACCATGTGAGAAGTATACAATAGTCTTGCTATTTTCCCTAAATTTTTGCTTTTTAAATTTGAAAAGTTTTAATCGTTGCCTTGTACGGGAACACTCACTAAGAAGACTTTCGGACTTCCGCCCCTTTCGATTTAGAGTAGTAGAGTGAGCTTAGTGCGAATTATCATGGGTAAAAACTCAGGAAGTGTATACATGGGCTTAGAGAATCTTTACAATACAAGTCTTGTTATAAATATAGCTTCTAATCATTAAACATATCACCAATAGAATCGTAACATCGAGTTCAAGTGATGATAACATTAAATTTATGCAATAATAACTTATTCCGCATCGTAATTAAAGTATGGCCTTCATGAACATAAGTATGTCATTTCCCCTTCACGTTATTCGTTACTTGTCAATTTTGCATATGCTACTTTTTCTATAGAAGAACTTATATACGAGAATATCGATGCATAGGTTAGCATGGATTACAGGATGTGCAGCTGTCGACTATAGGCAGCTGTTTCACTCGAAGACCATTGGTCCATTGTGTTCATCCTAAGAAGATAAGAAATAGATAAATTGGGAAAGAAAGAAGATGAGATAGAGATATCTATTTTTTATGAAGGCCTGCCCAGCCATGATATACTTTTAGCAAAACTGTGGCTGATGATGGGATCTACGTCTGAGAAGAATGTTGGAGTTTCTATCTTCTATATACCGAATAGCCTCTGTCTTTTGCTTGACATCGTGGGACATTTGCATAGTAGCTGCTCAATCGTCTCTACCTCATCTTCGTTCTCATATTCGGTGCTTAAACCCTATTTTATTTGGAATGAAAATTAGAAAAACTGTCTTAAACAGCCCTGCTAAAATACAGCCAGAGCCGGTGTCCGCTATCCTTCGGAATTATTCACAATAACAGGTTCTCATTTAATTGACATGTTTCCTAATTTTTTAAACAATTTAAAAAGCGCGAAAGATGAATGAAATGCTTGGATTTTAATTCAGAATTATGATCACAACTGAGTAATAATTCTATTCGATGACAAAACTGATCGCTGATTTTGAAAATTAATTGTTTTTATTTTTCAAAACCCTAGAAAAAAATTGTAATCAGCTTCACTTTACTATTTTGTGTTAATAACAAATGCAACAAGTTGTTTAGTTTATTTGACACCTTTCCCACATTATTTTTCTTAAATGAATGGAAAGTCTTTTTTTAATAATATCGAGTTACTAATATGATCACCTTAAAACAAAAATAAAAATTTAAATTTCTACGGAATGCATACACAAACAAAAACTATGTATATGTTTTGACATTCCTAGGATTCCATCCTAAAAAGTTCTTTTCTCTACATTTGAAGTTGTTTTTTCTACCTTCCAATTTATATTTAAAATAAAAAAGATTCGATTCGGAACTACATTCATTCGGTCGAAAAATATATATCAATAAATTATGTGTGTACGAGAATCCAGGAAATTGTACAAATCGTTACAAAATGTTGTTCTATAACTCAAAAGTCCATTAAATGAGACGAACTGAAGAGAGCAATTTCGACAGTTGAGTTACTGAGTGTTTGCAAATTCTAATTGGGAAAATGCTAAAAAAATCGGACAATAATTTAATTATTTTTTAGTTAATAGCTATTATTGATTTGATTTCCTTAAAATTTTTGAGAGACAGTTTTTTTTGCTGAATTTGCAATATTTATACATGACTAAGAAAGTTGTTTCAGTACAAATCGCTGAGTTTTTTCGTCATTCTTGATGGGATCTTTGCACAAAAAAGTGAGAGAACTCTAAAAACCCGAATCAGAGATGAAAGACAACTTTGACTTGTAGACCTTTTAATACGAACTTAAATATTTTCTGAACACTTTTTTTCGATGACTTTCAGCCTGTTTTTGTAATCATATTTTTTCCCATTCGTCACAAGCAGCACAACTCGAAATGAATGCAAATAAAACAATTAACAAAATATTGGTTATGGAACTCTGAGCATTTCAAAGCATTTCGGAAACCCAATTTAACGAATACGAATACAGAAAATTGAACAGATAGACAATTCGTCCACACTTCGTGTCTGGATAGGGGGACTCGAAGGACCTGTTGATGCCCTAAAATGAATTTCACATGCCATGAATGAGGTTCAAAATTTTATTTTTTATTGTTTTAATTTTAATGTGTCTTTTTAATAAATAAATTTCATAAATTTGTATGTTTTCATTTTTATTTTTCTCAAATTTAACCTAAGCTCTAATTGCGAATTTCACAACCATATGGCTTTAATGTATAATACAACTTTGCTAATTACACTTTTTTGTTTTGCTTCGTTTGATGAATGATTGATAGATTGATTGTTGGATGATTGAGGTTCAATAATAATAAGTAATAATAAATGTGCTAATAGCAATAAAATAAAAACAATAGAAAAGAAAAAAATTCCAAAATTCGATTAATACCAACAACGACTGGAAAATATGTCAAATATACAATTCAAATTAGGCTAAATATTTATAAATATTAATTAATTATCTATTTTACAGTTAATTTGTGTTGTTATTATTGTTATTATTATAATGCTAACTCTTACGATACGATAAATTCTATTATTAAGAATAAATTGTATAAACATTTCTAATGAACTTACATATATTACAATTTATGGAGGACGATGATGGAGGACGAGGCTATATGGAGGAGTAATTTTTTTTTTATTAAATGGCAACAATTAAATGACACAAAATAAAATAAAATTCTACGGTGTGGCGTTTTAACAGGCTTAGATTATTGAGGAATAAATGCCAACTTCAGTGCTCTGATGATCAAAATACTAGATACCCCTTTAATTTTCTTGCAGTCGCCACCAGATCACAAGTTCCAAATTAAACTTTTTTGGACCATTTGGTTTGTCAGGGAAATAATAAAATTGGTTTTTCTTTCGTCGCTAATACCGACCTTATATAGAGCTTGATCAAGGCCTTTTTATAAGGTAAGAGGGCACACAAAAACATTGCGTTTGCTCTTTAACAAATTTAGCCTCTGTTTCTTTAAAAGAAAGCTAGGTATGTTTATGAGGTTTTTGTGACGTATATGGAATTCAATGAGGGTCAGATCAGAACATTTCTTTATCTTTTCTGCTCTATTTCCGATCACAATTTGTGTTTTGACAACTCGTCTAAATGATCAGCTGCGGCGAATGTAGTTCCTACCCAGCGAACCAGCGGTTCGACTTCAAATCGAAAGTCGGATCAAACGATTTCGGATGTGTATTTGGTCCGACTCCTGTCAAATGTTTATATGGAGTTATTGACATGTTGTCTGAATCTGAAGTTTTCATAGGAATTCGGAAGGAAGTTAAAGTTGTCGTACCCATTGTGGACCAAACTCGGAAGTAATATCGTGCAGAGTGTTTAAACATTGTGGTGGAGGGTATAAAACGATCGAACCGGCCGAACTTAAAGGCCTTTTTACTTGTTATTAAATGACGTTTCTCAACCGGTTGAAACATCGTTAGTTAAAAATGCCTTATTCCGTAACGAACTACAAACTGGTTGGCAAGTCATCGATATATCAACCCTTTCAAACACCAAAATGGATTTTGCTTTACAAATTCCCTATCTGACTATAAACCACTTAAAAGTAGTAAGTTTATAGTTAGTTACGGTAATGCCGGGTTAAAATAGTTGGTGAGCGAAAGGAAAATAATCAAAAAATGACTAGTTTTGGTTATTTTAAAACTAATTTTAAATTTTCTTTTGAACTAATCAATGTCGCCTCAGGCCCGGGAATGTTTTACACGAGTGTTGCTCACACACATACCATCGCAACGAATTCGGAATAACTCTGCACAAGTTTCCGATTCTGATGTCGAATTGGAAACGAACTCGGAATAAGATTGTGTGAGATTGCCCAATATTCTGAAAAATATCGGAATGAACATTGGAGTTTCCTGAGGAATTCGATTAGAATTCGCAATGAAAAAATTCGGAACGTTTTTGTATGTTTAATACGAAATTTGCAAAATTTTTGAATGTTTGATCCGAAATTCAGAAAAACAAAACTGAAAACGTGGCGGATGTTTGATCCAATATTCGGAAAAAATTCGATAGATTTTCGATATTTTTATATGAAAATCGGAAAAAAATGACTAATTTCTCGAAATTCGAAATTCGTTAGTAGTAGTCGTAGTTTTAATGCCGCATCTAAACAATAGAAATAAAACAAGTAAGAAAGCAGGGGGCCGGTCGGAACTTTTAATACCCTCCACCATTTGAAAGAAACTTGATAAATTTCAAAAAAAAAATCCGAAAACTACCACTTGAATGGAAACCGTTGTATGGGGACTTTACGTAGACGTGGACCTGCATACGAAATTTTTTGTCATAGGCTGCAATACCCATTACGAACTTTAAATACGAAATTTGATACAATTACGGTGAATAATGTCGCAAAAATCATCGGGGAGGTACCGTCTATGGGGTCTATACGAAGATGTGGACCTGCACACAAAAATTTCTGTCATAGGCTGTAGTATCTTTTACGAACTTCAAATACCACCAAAATACCGAAAATAGGGAGGGGGCTATACCAAAACTTGGACCTACATGGCCCATTTTCAATGCCAAAAGTCCTGCAGGCATAATATACATTTGAGTAAAATTTTATCAACCTACTTCATTTCGTTCTAAAGCTAGAGTGATTTCCACAGCCGGATAGACGGACGGATGAGATTGCATAAACATGTTTCTGTTCACGGCCCAGTTTTACACTGAATCTCGTGAGATTAGCATTTTGAGAACACAGTTTGAACTTGTTAAAACACCAACACTCTAATGATGATAATAACTAGGATGTAACGATGATGATGCAAATGCGAGAGTGAAACACACATTCATACACAAATGATATGTCAATGGACTAACAACGATACAATAATGATTATAGCTTGTTTTTTTTTATTTTTTTTTTTTTTGTTTGCTCTTCTCTTCACTCTTTACAATAGATAAATTGCTGTTGTTTGTTTGTGTTTTTTTTTTGTTTTTTGATTTCATTTGAACTAACTGTAAATGTAGAATATCGTAGAATAGTAGTATAAGTATATATGAATAACTTGATTTAATTAATTAATTATATGTATGTATGTATGTATGTATATGGATGTATCGTAATAGTTATAGAATACTTAGTATATGGCATCAAGTAAAAATCGTTTTTAAAATCGCGTTGTATCTGTTGTTGTTGTTTTTTGTTTTCTTTTTTAAGAATATTGAAATATTGCAACATTCAATCTGTATGTTTCCTTTTTTTTCGTTTGCATGTGTCTGTGAATGTCTGTAGTTCGACGATTTAGTAATTTTAGCATTTCAATTCCAAGAGGAATCTCTTTAGAAAATAGTTGCAGGACCCTTTCTGGGTATAGAGAGAGAGAGAGAGAGAGAGAGATAGCGCTATTTACGTTGTGTCGATTTTGTATATCCGTTTTCCTGTAAATTTATAAATTTTCAAACATTTGAATGATAAATGTTATAAATTCTTAATCGACTAGGGATCCTAGGTAGTATTTAATTATGTAATATGTTAATGCATAATAGGCAATTGTTTATAATGATGTCCGGTGTTTTTTTATTTTTTTGTATGTAGGTAGGTAGAACAATATAACAATTAAGCTGGAGATTTGTGGTGATTTTGTACAAATGATCTGTATGGAAATGTTATTTTAACTTTCGGAAAAGGCATGTGTGGAAATATTGTTTATTTTCGAATTGTCTGGTATTGAGAGTTAAGTTCACCTACGGGAGTGAGGTTATTTACTCGTTTGCAAATTGGATGAAAATGATTGTGAAATTAGATATAAAGAAGGTTCCATATAAAATGTCCAAAAATATTTTCCCCACACTTATTCAGACCTAATGCGCGCGTGTGTGTATGTTTGAGTGACAGATTGACGGCAGGTAGAGGGGGACTAAATTGATTGATTTCATAAAATGTTGAGCAATTGATTAATTTTTTTTATGATTATATAAATGTAAATCATCTGTTTTTAGATTCGTTCAATTCATTAGGATTTGTTTTTTAGTTTTCCGTTTTATTTGACATCTTAGGCTAGGAGGAGCGGATGTATGCTGTAGGTTGTATGAACATAAGAGGGGCAAATGGGTCGACAAGGCTTTTCATTTGATTTTTGTCTTTGTTTCGCATCTATCAGGTGGCTATGTTTATTCGGCCGGAACAATTTGATCCAGATTTGGTTTAGTGTCGTCTGGATCTAGGCTTAAACATTCCGAAAAATAATGTTCCATTGACGAGTAGACATGTTCGAGTACACCATCCAGCTCGTGATCCTCATCGGCATAAGTCTGAAAAAGAGAATAAACATTTCATTTGATTCCGTTCTATTCGTAGCAATATAAGTAAGCAGAATGTAACAAGATGGACCCATATTTACTTTTACACCGACTATCGACGGGAGTCGATGCAACAACCTAATTTAATTAGTGTGGCAATTGGCATCTGTAGTAGAGTGCAATGCGACAAGTCAGGAAATGTAAAAACACTAAAGGATAGTATACATATAATGTTAGAGTCATTTGTAAGGCTACTTTTTCTACTTTCTACTTTAAAGTGCTTTCCTCAATTTAATATAAAATAACATAAATTTAATATGTGTATATTATATAGCATTGTACTATACATATTTCTCTAGCAGACTGCGGAAACTGGCCTTAAGATATTTTAAACACGAACCAGCCTCCAAGTCTATTGGCTTCAAGAAGCAGATTAAAGTTGACTCCATAATCGACACCTGACAATCAATTTGCCAGAGCAACGAAATAGATCTTCAGAGCAAACAAACGGTATTTCATGCCGAGGGAGCGTCTAAAAGTATGCTATGCTTATGCCAAAAATAAATGTAGAAAACCACTTTACATATGACTCTAACATGATATGTCATCGGGTCTTTAGTGAGAGTAGATACCAACTTTTTATTAACGTGTAATATTTAGTAAGATTCCATTTGTAATTCGAACTATTCCAATTGTAATTCGAATTCTGTAAATTAGACAGAATGAGGTTATGTGTGCAATAAGATATCGTGCAGATGACCGGCGCGGCTTAGCTTGCACACTCCTCTCAACTAATCCGTGTAAGCCATCGACTTCGGAAAACCACAAAGAAAAATATAGAAAGCTTTTTAGTGGCACGATCTAGACTGCAAATAAAAAACGATGACAATAAAAATGGAAAAACCCACACAACACAGTGATACGTCGATGATGCATTTGGTTCTCGTGATTCATTCGAGGGTTTTCCTCATCACAAATGTGAAATTCTGCCTATTGACGAAGACATAAGAATGGAAATGGGCCTCGTCACTGATGATGATGTTATCGACATAATCAGCATTTTCATTTCCAATACCCAATAAACGAATTCATTCAATCGTTTACCGCTCCATTTTTACTAACCTCGTATCTAATAGTAAACAATAACAATGTCAAACAATGACACTTCGAATGGAGCCAAATTTAAAAATTACGCTCTAGCTCGAATCTCCATTACTAATGGAAGAATTTCAACCGAAATTATTCGAATTACACTTGGAATTATCAAATAACAATTCGAATTACAAATACCATACCATCATTTCATAATTCATTCATTTCATCATTCCACCATTTGGAACGAATCTGGCAATTTTCAAAAAAATAAAATCCGTTAAAAATTCGGTTAAAGTCTTAAAAATACAGAATGTAGCCGTTATATTAGGATCTATATGGACATTTCGTTTATAACACATCCAAATATACATTTTAGACCCCACAAAATATATATATTCTTGATCAGCATAAAATTCGATGTAGATTTAGCGATGTACGTCCATCTGGGAAATCACTCTAGCTTCCGAACGAAATGAAGTGGATTGATAAGATTTTACTCAAATGTATATTATGTCTGCCGGGCTTTTGGCATTGAAAATGGGCCATGTAGGTCCACGTTTTGGCATAGCCCTCAATTAAGGGTATACCACGATTTCAAGTATTTTTTAAATTTAAGTCATTTGAAAAGTCAAACGATTAATAATATGAGCTTTTAGAAAAAGAAATCGTGTTTTCCAACCAGGTTTCGGTATAAACCTCATAAGAAGAAATCATGGGATATTTCAGCAATTGCCGGGGCCTTGGTCACATTTTTTAATTGACTTGGCCTTTATTTGGCATCTTGGCTTCTAAAGGTGAAGCAAACCTCTTCGCAGAAATTTTGTCGAAAATATTCAGAGTAGCGTCCATATTTTTGTATAGTCCCCATATAACATCACCTACCAGGTCCACCGATAGTGATGTCTACCGATTGACGGACAAACGGACGTACAAAAACATAGGCGTTATGTGAACTCTAACGCACAGATTGAGGTGTTATGGTAATGGATATAAAAGAGTAATTAGCTTTGACTATTCTCAAGTCATTCTGCCCTTAATTATGGAGTGGACAAAACTAAATGGCACTCATCACGATTTCTAACCAGTACAAATTCCAAATTACATCTTATTTAAATGGAAGTTTAAGGATTCTCACTCTGAAATTAAAGCCTGTGGTTGAAAAATAGGATCAGTTTGTTTAAAACACTTTAACTCGACCGGTACGTGAACATGTATTGAAATGTTTGCCATGGGTATTTAGTTCTATTTAGTCAAGTGATTATTTATAATAACAAGTGAAAAAAAAAAAAAAACATTAGGTTTGACCAGGTCGACCTTTTAATACCCTCCACCTTTGGGTAAAGATATACAAGTATCTGAATTCAAACGTGTTCTACTTTAAACTACAAATACCAATAAGACCGTTTAGATAATGCTGTTAAACTTTTCAAAAAAAAAAAAAAAATAAAATAAATAAATAAATAAAACCCGTAAATTGGGTGACCCCGTTATATGGGGTCCTTACCAAAATGGGATCCGATATACCCAATTTTGTACTTCAAGTATTGTTAACATTGCGAGACCTAAATACCAAATACCAAAGCAATTTAGTGGGTAAATGTGGTTAGGTTTATCAAAATATCGAATGTCGGTGGGTACCGTTATACATGCAGTATAGGAAAACATGGACCTAGATATTTAATGTTCTGCTTCCGGTGCCAGTAGTCATTATTAACTACAAATACTAGTTTTTAAACAAATCCGTATACAATTGTCGTGTGGCAAAAATCATCAAAATACCGAATATAGTTAGGTCATGTTATATGGGGGCTATATCAAAACGTGGACCGATTTATCTCATTATCAATACCAAACATCCTAGACATAATACAAAATTTTCTGCCAAATTTTGAAGCTCTACGTCAAATAATGTGCGCTGTATCGTGATTTCAACAGACAGACGGACATGGTTAAATCGGCTTAGAATTTTATGCTGATTATGAATACATGTAGTTTATGGCCCAGATCTGTAAATTATTAGGTTTAAAAAATAAGCATAAAAGACAATAACCACGGGCCGGCAAAGTGGGTCGGGACAGCTAGTAGGATATAAATATTTTGAGTGAGTTAAAATCTGGGTAAAAAAGGCGGTCTGCAATTGGATTCGATACGAAATTCGATGGTACCCAGACTTAACTGCCAAATGGTTATGGAACTTGTGTCCATCGATTCAGTCGGGCGTAGCTCCCGACCGATTTCAGAAAAAATCTAGAGATCCCAGTAAATCCGATGAAACGTTAAAATGATTAACAGCTTTAATCTTCATACACCGATTACAGGCAATATCGGAAGCATCAAGCACAACAATGAACATTTTGACTTATACTTTACCTGATATCTGTATAAGACATTGGCATCGGTTAATGACTTGGCTAGCTGAACACCGTGGATATATGGAGCCGTCGAATCGGCTAGGCCGTGTATCAGAAAAAACGAATGCGATTTGATGAGACGTGCCCTCTGGGTGGCGTCTGCCTCCACATATCCTTTGTAGTTTTCCGCCGGAAGACCCAGTATTCGTTCTGTAAATGCCGAATCTGCAAGGGATGGAAACAGATTAATTAGCATTACCATATCGATGGTGATCAGCGCTACTTACTGTAATACAACCAATCTGCTATTGGCGATATGGCTATGCCACATTTGAAAACGTCCTGCTGTGTACCTAAGACCATAGAGGTGACATAGCCACCATAACCCCAGCCCCAGATTCCGACACGAGTTTCGTCTAAAAAACTTATCGTGTCCAGGAGGTAACTGTAATTTGGAGAATATTTTGATTTGTTATTTTGTAGAGTCTTATGTGGGCCATCACTTGAAATCTTACCGTATGACTGAAATTTGATCTTGTACCTCCACACCGCCCAGGCGCCGGTACAAAGATTTCTTACTCTGACCTTTCGCCCCTCGCACATCCAGACGTATGTAGATGACATCATTTCGTGATGACATATAAGTCCCCCAGTCAACTCTGAACCTCTCGGAAACTGATTCTGAGCCAGGTCTACCGTTCCTGCAAAAAAAGAATGCATTTTAAGTTTCAGCATAAATCTGGGTCAATCACAAGGTCTTACACTTCCACAACTACGGGAAAGGCGGCATCTCTCAACTCTTCACGCCAACTGGGCGGCAACAGTAATTGGACTTGTGCCCTGCTTCCATGGGGCAGGGATATTTCGAATGACCTTTGCGTGGGCAAGGCCAACTTTTTTAGACGTTCCGTATAGAAGAGTCTGGTGTCGTAGAGAACCTTTACCAGACTATGGGTCTTGGAAGCATGTACACCCGATACGGGCAAACCGGGACCCTGGCAGTCCAGGATGTAATATGCAATACCCTCCGCCGTGGCGAGGGATGATTTTGGTGCTAGGAAGGCATCAAAATGTGAGCAGTTCGAATAGTAGTACCGACTGCTCCAAAGAGCTTCTCCTAAATCGCAGGTGATGCAATTGGGTTCCATTCTGAAAGCAGACACACACACACACACATGCACACCTTAGTTTAGAAACACATTGAAAAACAGTTTTGGTTGGACTTACTTTCGATTGTCATCATTGACGGGATCTCTCACGGTATAGAGATGTCGCTGTCCGGGCTTCTTGTCTTTTGTTCCCAAATAGTATACTAGATGGTTGGCTGTATCCCAGCAAAGAATTTTCAATACCTGCAAAAAATAAGAGTAATGTCAGTGTGGATGTGGATTTTCCCAACCTGAAGGCATGCCCCTACCTCATAGCGTCCATGAGATATCACGGATATCCTCTGCTGCGATATGGTCACATGTTTGATGTGAGTAAAGTGCTCAGTCCCAGACTCCTGAACACTGGCCAATATCAAGAAACTATTGCCATCTGGAGAAAAGACAGGGTGTGGCAGTATGTCCAGCCATTCGTCCTCCGGTGCTCGCTCTGTGTGAATCTGGAAAGATTATAGTGTGGAATTGATTAATGTGATTCATTTAACAGAAATATGCCGACACTAACCTCTGAACACTCCCAGTTTGAATCGGCAAAGCAGGTCGATATCACGCTATAATTCTGAGACCGCATCATGTAAACTACCGACACCTGACGATTGCTGTCTGTTACCCAGCCGGCTGATGTTAAGTAATAATCGCTATAAAAAAACATATTTCGAAAATATTTATTAAAAGCCTGGTTTATTACATTCATAATCGGTAGCGAGTCGAGTTCTTTATCCAAATACCCTCGCCATACTGTGGTGCTGGAAGTAAGTTGTACTCAATTTATAAATTGATGGTCATCAATGAATGAAATGTGTAAAATAATTAAAAAAAAAAAATGAAAAAATAACTATTTTATACCATTCTGCAATTACAAGAATAAGATTATGAATAAGGGTTCCGTTTCGATTATTCTATAATTGTTAAACAAGCACTTCTCAATACATTCTCAAGATTTTCTCAAGCTTAAGGCTTATGTTTGTAAGCTTATTAAAATATTATTCTCAAGTCAATTTGGTATGTTGGGTATAATTCGCACACCTACAACCGAAGAAAGAATTTCCAACCTACCAGAAATACAATACAGCTTGAGAATAATATAAAAATAGTTTGTCATAAAAAATTTTCAACAATACTTGAGAAACACTTATGTTGCACAAACTTTTCTCAAATCTGTTCTTTGTTGACAAATAAATAGTTTCGATTTTTTGTGAAAATTTTCAACTAAAAATAGTTTGCTTTGGTAAAAAGCAAAATCACGCTAATTTAGCACCTATTTGCGGATTTGATTGCATCAAAGAAGTTGCAGGAATTTAATAGAGGTGTAGTATTAGTAGAGGTAATGCAGAAGCTTAAATAAGGGAAAATAAAGCGTCTGGGTATCAAGGCCGCAGGAGGCATCAATGAATAAAATATGTAAATTTATTAAAAAATGAAAAAAAAATAAATACTTTCTACTATTACACAAATAAGCTTAATACAATTACAAAAGCAAACTTAAAATAAGGGTTCTATCATGGTACAATAAGGAGGTAGAACAGCAGCGTAAAACTACAGAAATACAACCCTGAGGCTATGTCCGCTTCCTGACAGAATTATTCGAAATTATAGGCAACAAGTTGTTTTCATTTATTTGATATTTTTTGTTACTTTTTAAAATGAGCCAAACAGCGCGAAAGACTAATGAAATGCCTGGCTGTTCTCTCAAAATAAAAACCAAATTGTTCGATCTTTCAATTTCATGGCAAATCTGATTAATATTATAAATGCGCGCCCGCAATTTAAGTTTCTTCCAATCATTGATTTTGAAAATATTTTGTTTTTATTTTTCAAAACAACAAATACATACAGAAAATTGGCAGAAGTCGGACACACTTAGAAAAAAATTGTAATCAGCTGGGAGCTTTACCTTACCTTTTTATTGTACCATGGGTTCTATTTTGATTATTCCATGGCATAATTACAAAAGGCGGAACAAAGCTACCCCCTTAATAATTTTTTTGTGCCCTTATTCTGCCAAAATATGTAAACATTTTAAAAATAAAATAATTTGAAATTACACATTTCAAATTGGGTTGCAAAATACTAAATACTGTACTACCGAACAAAATACTAAAATACTACTCACTAGTTTAGATTCAATCTTGTGAAATAACCCCTAAATTCCATCCTTGTTTCGTGGGGTTTTCGCAATATAAGAATTTTGTTAAATAAACATAAACATCGACTCCGCTCCTATTCCCATGCTATATGCTAAAGTTAATGACATTTAATCACTTTGGTACACTTGTTTCCTGAAAGACCTTTTTCTATACAAACTTTTAACATCCCACTTTTTCCATTCAGAAAAAAAACAACTTTTCCAAATTTTGTAACATTCAGTATAGTTCTTACATTTAATTCACATTTTCAAAATCACCTCTTGCAACCTACTTCCTAAACTTGGTTTTCATGCAAAATTTCTTATCATGACTTTTTGTCCAAATTTAGTGAAGTGTACTACGTTTGCTTCGCTTATTGTTCGATTTTCCAATCTATGCTACACAACATCAAAGACCTTCATTCCAAATTTCAGATTTCCAGCTCTATCTCTTCCCTAAATAACACATTTAATACTATTTAGTACTGTTCGTACTTTTTAGTACGTTTTTCAAAATCCAACTTCATATATCAACCCCCCAAATCACAAAATGTAATGCTAATACCATATTCCATATTTCCAACTCTATCTCTTCCTCATATATCTAATGATGTTCGTTAGAAATTGTACTGTTGCGAAATACACTTATGTTTTTTTTTTCGTTTCCAACAAAACCATTCCTCCAAATTCACTTGGGGAGTCTTGCAACATTTTTTTATTTTACACTTTTCTCTCAATATTTTGTTCTCTGTTTAATTATCAGTCAGTTTTGCCGACAGATGTATACCCCCAGCCACTGCACAGTGGTCGAGGTCGTATGGGAACAGCGGCCAAAAATACTTTCAGTGCACATATCAATATGAATCTTTGGTTATGGTACCTTGATGGGATAAAAATAAAAAATGTGACAAAATGGATATGGTCGATGCATGTTTTGGCATGGTCCCCTTACAACGTACCTCCCGAATAAGGGAGAGATACCTCTAAAAATAGAAGTATTTTTTATATAAATCAATTCCAAATTTGATTTTTGTAAACAAAATAAAATAACAATTCAATATAAAATTAAATCAAAGTTAAATTTTGCACAAATAATTTGTTTGACCCAAGGCCCGATTGAAATTGTAGATAATCGGTCAAAATTTAGGTATAGCTCCCATATATATTTTCATCCAATTTGCCTTATATTGTGCACCAAACTTGTATCAGCCCAAATAGTATGGAATATACGTGCGACCAGAACTCTGTAACAACGATATTTGGGGAAATATATCAAATATAACTCAGAAATACCCTTGCTAAATTTTATCGAGATCGGTTAATATTTAGATATGGCTCCCATATATATCTTCGTCCGATTTGCTTTTTATTGTGCACCAAACGTGTAATATTAGCCCAAATGGAATGGAATTTGGTACTTACGGCCAAATTGAGTCTGGTGGAAATCGATTCAGATATAGCTATAGCTCCCATACATATTGTTCATCCGATTTGTTGAATTTGCTCTGCATAGCCGTAATGTGGACTCCGTAGTAACGATATTCGGGGCAATATATCAAATACAGCTCAGAAATACCTTTGTCAAATTTTATCGAGTTCGGTTCAGATTTAGATATGGCTCTCATATATATCTATCCGATTTCAAGATAATTCTGCACCAAATGGATAATACAAGCCCGAATTGAAAAGGCGCAAATGTCTCGACAAATTTAGTAGAAATCGATTCAGAGGAGGATATTCCTCCCATATATTAGTTCCTTTGGACTTTTTATTATTACTATAATCATATGATTTAATTCTCACAAATTCCCCACTAAAACTTTTATTTGTTATGTGACGCTCTACTAAATATGCAAAGTGGTGTAGGGTATCATGAAGTCGGCCCCGCCCGACTTTAAGACTTTCTTTACTTGTTATTGTTTGGTAACGTTCGCTGTCCCGTTATAAAAGGGTCAGAGCTCAGAAGAAGACGGTTAATAAGATCTGTGTTTGTTTTTAGACTCCACGGCCTCCTCCTATAATTATCTTATCTATACAATGACAAATTTCTAAAGTCGGGTGCATGTATTAAAGTTTTATGAACTGTGGGTGGAAGATAGTGCCATGGATATCTATTTGTTAACTTTTTAGCAGTTTCCCGTGCAATGGCCTTAAATTTTTCAGCATTAATCAGAAGACAATGCTCGCAACATTATTGAACACCCCTCAATTACATCCTTATCAATACCAAACAACAAAAACATATTCTATGTCACTAGCACCATAGAACTGACAAAATTGCAGCGAAGTCACTTCAGTATATTGGGCATAACATACAAATCTGACAAAATCTGAAAGCTAAATTAGCATTTTTAGAATCTTAGGGCCATTACTAATGGCGTGAAAAAAATCAAATTGGAGGATTCAGGGGGGAAAACAATTAAAACTTTACCTGAAATCCAATTTTATTTTCAAAATTAACCTTAAAGGCAACTCAGATCACTCACATTTTCTATATTATACACAACTACTAAACACACAAATTACTGCACTAAAAATAAGTCAATACCTTGCTTTTCAATAATAATGCCATGATTTGTCGTTTTAAAATGTATTTAATTTTGTAATACAGTTCTATTTTTACTCCAATTTTTCACTGATCCCACTGAAAAAAGCAAATACCTACATTTTCTCTTTTTTGATGCTATTCTCGAAGTGGGCCGTTAGAATGAAGTCAAGATAATTATGTTTTCTAAAAAGCTTAACCTCTTAAGAGTTCAGGTGTACACATTTGACAATGAATATCTGATTTTCATTTTTTGAATTTTGGCCAATGGCAGCGACCACTGTGCACTGTTCTATTATTTTTATATGTTTTTACTTCTGTTATGATCATTCAAATTGTTGTCCCTCTATGGAGTAGGTTCCGGAGGAATGGTCCAATATTGTTCATTTCGTATTGCACCTAAATAAATGTGATAAAAATATTGAGTCGGGCCAGGTCTGGACTTCACTTTATATGAGATATGTACAATTTTTTAGATAATGTTAAGTGTACGTCAGGTACCAGATACTGTCGACAGAGGTATTCCATTTTTATACATCATTTAAGACAGATAAAAGCATTGGTATGGGCAAAACTACAAGAAAATTGAACGTTTAAGGTTTCTGGTTGAGAGAAATATTTAGATATGGAAAGTTGCAGAGAATCGCTGTCTGGTTTCGCAAGTTATGACAGATAAAAGTATTTAAAATAGTGACCAGAAGGGTCGGCAGATATATTGTGTTAGCAAAAATGTTTTTATGTGTGAAATTTGAAGAGAGTTGGATGCTTATTTCGCTTTCTTTCATTCGCTTTGTTTTCAAAATCTTGAGACCTATGTGGGGAAGGTACCAGCAGAAATGGTTCGATCTCTACCATCTTTAATCGTTTTATGAGCTGCATGGAGATTCCAAATGTAGACCCTTTGTGGGAGAGGTACCAGAAAGAGCGGACCGATATATTCCATCTTCACACCAGTCCATAGGTTAATA